CGCCGCGATGCCGCCGCCGCTGCCACCGCCACTGCCGCCGCCGCCACCAGTGCCTGAGTGCCCGTGAGACCTGGAGTCTGGGGATGGGACATCTCCCAGAGCCCGCACAAGCTGCTTTCAATGCTGCCGGAGACCCCTGGAGCCTGCCTGATCCACTCACCACTGCTGGGGATTAAAATAAGTTTATTTTAGAATCTTAGAAGTTTATTAAGTTGAAGCTTAAGTTTAATTGTAACTGCTGGTGAATGCCCAGACCTAGCCTGATCAATGCCTCATGCTGCTGGAGACTGGATGAGCCTACCTTTGCACTGCTGGAGACCCCCTTGTGCTGCCCACGTAGCTGGAGACCCAAGAACTGTGCTGAAGGACACAGGAGTCTGCACTGCCCAAGCACCCCAGAGTGCACCTAAGGAGCCATCGTGTCGCGGGAGGCCATTCTCGACTGGCACCATGGGACCCAAACAGCCTTGCACGCTGCTGAAGCCCCCCCAAGACCTCCATACTGCCTCAGCAGCCAGAGCCTGCCCAACACCTCCCTCCATGCAGTTGCTGGCACTCCAGGACCCCACATCTCACCCCGGGGTGGTCACAGCACCAGGCTGAAACCCTCACTCCAAGCTCCCCACTGTATCCATCTGTGCAGGCAGCATCTAGGCAGAACCAGGCAGGAACCACATCATGGCATGGACTAGCATCCATTGGACTTATTGCCCAGGCAGTGCTTCAGGGTGGCAGAGTTGTGTTTTGTTAATTTTTTTTGTAATAATAAATAATATTTTTTCTGGTGAGTCTTCTGCTTGCATGGCCCTCTGCCATGGGCAGAGGTGGAAGGATGTGCTTCTACAGTTGGGGTGACCCTCTCTGCTCCCACTGTCCCTGAGGAGTTCAGGGGGAGCTGGGTGCTTCCTTGGAATCTGGTTATTCCTGGGGATGGAGTGCAGCAGGTGGTCTTGTCTGCCAAGTTGCATCATGGTGGGCTGGTAGGGAAGTTGGGGTATTTTCCATTGGGATACAGAGCAGAGCTGCACTCGTGCCTGTGGGTTGAGCTGTAGGAAAGGCAGCATCCAAGAAAGCCCTCAGAGCTGAGGGCTGTGTCTGGCAGTGCATAAAATGGGGTACAAAACTGTTCACTTCAGATGGTTAAAAACTGCATTGGAGTCAAATAACCAGATAAAAGAAATATAAATTTTTCTTTCCAAGACAATACACTCTTTTACCAGAGCAAATTAGAAATACAGAACAAGTTCCTACCAGTGAGAGAAGGACAACAGAAATGAGGGACATGTAACTGAAATGTGACACTGGGGAGCACAAGGGGGACCAGGACTTTTTGGGTTCTAGTAAAGCTCTTACTAGAGTCCTGCTGGCTGCAGATGCAATGCCTGGCTGAGAACAGCCTGTGGAAAATCAGTAAGGAAAACACATTTGGGAGCTGGGGCAAGTGGGAATGATTGGGTTGGTATTGCCCCACTGCTGGTCCTGCAGGTCACATCAGAGTTAGGCTTGGCACCATCCTAAAATCCCACAAAAGCCTCCTAAAGCTGGCTTAGCATGGTTCCTTCTTCCTAAGGTGGGACACTGAGCAGCTCTGAAAGCCATCCTGGGCTGTACCTGTGCCTGCTGCACCAGTTCCCAGGGTCTGAAGGTTGGGATGCCAGTTGTGCCATAGGGGTGGGAACACTGGGCTACATTCTCTCTCCACAGCATCCTGTGGGTGAGGCGATGCTGGCCGCAGACCAGCTGGGATTTGAGATGCTACTCTGGGATATGGTCCTTTCTATTTTTTACTTCTCCCTTCCCTCCCCAGGCCACCTCTGCTTATCCATTGGTCTGAAAACAGAAGGAAAAAGAAAACAAGTGCACTGGAACACAAAAACTGTCACCAGAGCTGGCGGGCAACTTCCAGGATAGGACATGAGGCTGCCAGTGGCAGGGGATGGCCATGCCGAGGGTAGGCACCTCGTGTCGTGTGTGGCACTAGCTGGAAGCCTCAAAAGAAATAAAGAACACAAGCTGGGAAGGGCTGGCCCCACAGGAAGGCCACAGCATCCCAGGCTGGCTACTGGCTCCCCTTGGAGTCCGAAATGTGGGTTTTCACCTGTGAGGAGAAACACAGCATGGCCGTCCTGCGATGCACTCCAGCAGTAGGATCAAACTCAGCACCCTGCCCAGTACCTGGCATCCCACACCCACCTGGGGAGTGCAGTGTGAGAGCAGCACCTTTGATAAAATGTATTTCTGCTCCAAGGTTGTTTCTGTAGCCCTGGTGCTGGAGTGATGCACACCCAAGGAGTTGCTGCAGGGTACTCGGAGATGTTCTGGCTGTGCCAAAGGTTTTAGCCCTGGCACACATCTGGAATGGCTTGGGGAACCCCAATGGAGCATTTCATCTACTCCAGGCATCCCTCATCAGCAAGTAGGGGTGGATTTTAGAGAAATAGTCTGGCATAGAATCTGGCCCTCCTCTTACCGTCTCCTCTGTGTCTGTGCTCTCCTCTGCACTGTCAATGTTGTGCAGGTCTCTGTCCCCATCAGCCCTTGTCCCCTCCTTTCTCCGTGACTCCTGTGACCCCTCTCCAGCTGGGGATGGTGACTCTGTCCCCGGCTCTGCCCTCTTCTTCTCGCTTTCCTTGGACCCTGAAAAGGCAGAGACAGAAGAATTTTGGGGTACCTGTGCAAATACCAGTTCTGTCCTCGCCTGTTTCCCTTGTACAAAAGGCTGGGCTCTTCCGTGCCATCCCGGAGAAGGGAAAGGATGTGGGGAATCTGCCCAGCTAGCTCTGGATGTCCTGGGCACACAGGGAGGTTCCCCTTAAACCCAGATCAGGGCTCAGGCTGTGTGCCCATGAGCTGCCTGGCACAGACACACAAATGTTGGAGGGTCTGTGGCTGGTTCCCTCACCTGTGAGACGCTCTCTCCGCTGGTCCATGCGGTCCAGGCTCTCCAGCAGACTGTCCACCTGCGCCTTGATCTGGCTCAGCTCCCCCTTGATGGAGTGCAGCTCTTCAACTTGCACTGTTGGAAGAGGAGCCATGAAGATCCCACCCAAAGCCAGGAAGACATGCCATCCTGGGCAGCCATCTCCAGAGCATCCTCCTCTCTGGAGCATTCCCCTTCTCTGGAGCATTTTCCTCCACAAAACATTCTCCTCTATGAAACATCCTCCCTTCTGGGCATCCTTGGGGAACAGGAATGGATCCAGGGAGCAGCCAGCACACCAGTGCAGCCCAGGCTGTGTCTACTGGAGCTGGGGACTCAGCATCAAGTCAGGGTCAGCATCAAGTGGGGCCTCTGGGCTGCAGTGCTGCTCTAATGTACCGAGACACAAAACCTCTGCTTCTCTTCCTCCCAGCCTTGTTGCACTTACACTTTGTCCGTCCTGTTGTGGAGCTGGTGCTGCTCCTTGTCCCAGGCTGGGGACTCAGGCTGCTCTTGCTTCCTGCTCTCGAGTGAGTCCGCCTGGTCTTGACTGGGATGCGGTTAATGAGTGGGGGGATCTTCTGGTACTCGTATACCCTGCAAGGGCACAAGAGCACGGGGCGTGAACACAACCTCAGAGGTGCAGCAGCAGCCCCTGCCAGCCAAGAGAGCATGTCCTGGGGTCCCTGTGCAGTGAAGGACTCCCAGGCTGGGCCCTGCCCTGCCCACATGCTGTCCCTGCCCCAGGTACCCCTCCCCAAGGCCCCCAGCCTGGGGAAGGTGCAGCTCCCTCAAGGGGGGAAACACGACCGAGCCTTTGTCAAAGGCAAGGGGACGGATGCCCAGGGACACCCCGTTTTTCCATGATCAGAGACAGTCACAGGTCAAACCCAGCCATGCTCAGCTCATCTCGCTCCTGGAATGCTGTGCTCACCGGTATGGGAAGTCGTCCCTGTAGAGATCATAGTCCAGGTCACAGTTACTGCTGCAGGAGTGGGAGAGAGCAAACAATGTCACCCACAGACATCGTGGAGCAGTCACTGCTGGGCACAAACCCACCCAGCCTTCATCCCTGGGGAGCAAGAGGCATCCCAGAGGATCCCACACAAGCTGCAGCATGATCCAGGAGGTGACTCTGCCCTGGAAGTGATCATCCTCATAGACAAACAAGGGTGTTAAGGAGGATGGTGAGAAGTCCCTGGGGCAGCATCAGCAAGGTCTGCCCTCAGGAACCTGCATTTAGAGCGCCCTGATGTTAAATTTCATGGTCATGGCTCCATGTACATGCTGCTGGCTCGCTTGGCTCCAAATTAAGAAGAGATCTGTCAGCAGATCCACTGTGAGCAGCCACATTCCAGTAATAAATCATGCACTCTGGACCAGGAGCAGGGAGTGGGGAAAGGAGAAGGAAGAAAAGGAGGAGGAAGCAGAAGGATGCTGAAGCTTATTTTGCTGCTTCAGCTCCTGCAGAGTCAGGGAGTGTAGGATTAAGCCTAACCTGAGGGGAGACAAAGCCTTGATCTGAGAATCACTTGGAGCAGGGAGCCTTCATGTTGCCAGGAATGGGGGAACCAGGACAAGGTCCCCCAGTGCTCCAGATCTGGCTGCAGATGAATTTGTGACCACAGGATCAATGCAGGAGCTCAGGGAGAGCTGGAGGTTTGCTGGAGGGCTCTCAGGCAAGCTGGGCTGCCCTGCCTGGGGCACCAAGCCTAGGCCAGGCTTGCCCAGCCCAGAGGGCAGCTTGGAGCCCATGCCAAAAGGGATGGGGATGCCACAGGCCACCTGTGCTGTGAGAGAACTGGTGGCACTGCAGCACAGCTAGTCTTGGGGTCTAGCACTCAACTGGGGACACAGCAAGGGGTTTTCAGGCTCAGATCTTTGCTTAGAGCATCTCCTGGGAACAGCAAAAGCAGTGGCTGCCATGCTCCACTGCCCAAGGGGGCCGGCAGTCCCAGCCCTCCAGTGCTGCATCCCTTCGGCTCCATGGCAACGGGCAGAGCAATTAGTTCAGTCAGGGCGTTCACAAAAAAGCTCTAACAAGACAGGAAACCAGCTCCAATCCTCTTCTCATCACACATCCACTGAGATGTGGAGCCAAAAGTGCACAGGGATGGGGACAGATTCTTCATCTACCACTTGTGCCATCATCATCATCGCCTACTGCCCTCCTCAGAGATATCACCACCCCTGTGTGCCTCTGTAGAGTTTGAGGAACGGCATTTAAAGGCCACAATTGCAACTGACATTGACATAGAATCATAGAATTCTGGAATGGTTTCAGCTAGAAGAGTTCTTGAAACTCATCTCATTTCAACCCCCCTGCCATCGGCAGCACCACCTTCATTAGACCAGGTTGTTCCAAGCTCCATCCAACCTGATCCTGAACACCTCCTGGGATGGGACATCCACAGCTTCTCTAGGCAACCTGTATCAGTGCCTCACCACCCTCACAGGGAAGAATTTATTCCTTATGTCCAGCCTAAACTTACCCCCTGACAGTGTGAAGCCATTACTGGGGGGGCAACACCTGTAGCAGGTGTGGAGATCACAGGGCTCTGCTTGTTCTCCCACTGCCTTCAGATGGGGAAGGGGAATCCCCACACCCCACACACCAGGAGGAGCCTGGTGAGGACTCCAAATGCACCTGTGCCATCTGGCACCAGGTGATGCTCCAAGAGCCCCATTGGGATGAGGCAGGGATGTCCCTACCCTATGCCTCCCAGCTGGAATCGGCAGAGGTGAGTGACAGAGAGCAGGGGAGGAAGAGGAGCCAGGTGTGGGACAGTCCCCAGTCCCCAGTGCACCCCTGCCCCGCACAGGCACTCACTGGTACAGGCTGCTGCTGTGCTGACGCTTCTGGCCCAGCCTGGCCCGGCTCAGCTTGGACTCCCTGGACATATCCAAATCTGAGGGGAGAGGGAAGGAATGCGAAGTGGAAAAAAAAGGGGATGCCAATATCCTACCCCACACAGACACATCTCTGGAACCAGCTTCCCAGCCACACTTCTCTCCTGGCTGGAGATGTCCCACTGCAGAGCATCCACAGGACGAGGAGGGGGCTGAAAGGTCTCTCTAGATTTAAGTCTTTGGGAAGGATGTGAGCAGCAGAGAGTAGTTCCAGAAATGTAACATCTCCAGCTATCCCTTCTGACAGGTGCCCCATCCCAAGGACCCAAAGCTAGGCAGGCTCCAATTAGGGTGGCAGCAAGCACTTCTGATGCATATTTAACCTGCAGAGACATTTCCCATCACTGTGGTGAATTCACCTTTGCTATCACACCTGATGGGTGATTGGATTATTTTTCAGGGATATCCAGGCCAGTAGGATGCCTGTGAGTGCAGCTGGGTTCCAGGGATGGGAAAAACCCTGTGTCCAGCTGCTTCATCCTCCCAAAGGCTGCTGAGACACGTGTGATGATATGTGGGGTGGAAATGGCTCTGGCGCACAGCTCAGCAATGCCACATCACACCTCCCCGGCGATGCTCTTCATCCCTCCTTTAGGATTTCACAGCCAATATCCATATAAAAGCCAGCTTGAATCTATTTTCTGCATATACATTTGAGATGCACTGATGGTGTGGTTTATGAATATCTCCATGTATTTAATTTTGGGACACTCCTTAACCTCTGTGGCCACTGGGGTGAGGAGACAGTTGAGGGCTCCTTCTTGCACACTCAGTCTTGGCCACAGTAGGTGTGACCAGATGTTCCCAGTGCCTGGGCTCTCTCCCCAGTAACAGAAGGGTAGTGGTAGAATATTCCTGTCCTGATGGAGTAATGGTATGGGGGAATAATGCAAGGAGGGACATCCCAGTACTTGGAGGACATTCCTGTCCTGGGAGGGTATTAGCAAAGGGGTATCCCAGTATTGAGAGTACATGCCTGACCCGGCATTAATGGCTTGGAGACATCCCAGAACTAGAAGAAATCCCTGTTCTAAGAGGGAATGGCCTGAGGACATCCCCGTGCTGTGAGGAATCCCTGTTTTAGGAGAGAATGGCATGGGGCATTCCAGTACTGAGAGGATATTCCAGTCCTGGGGTTAATGGTGTGGAGGGGTAACGGCATGGGAACAACCCTGTAGTGGGAGGACATCCTTGTCCCACGGGTGATGGCATGGGAAGGACCCGGCATCCCGGGTATTGGAAGGCCATCCAGCCCCGGGGAGGGACTGGTACGGCTGTGGTGGGCACTCGGGAGGGTGCCGTGCCCGGGGTGGGGAGCCTTAGAGGCACTGGAAGGCTGCAGGGGAACACCCCCGCCTCGGTCAGAGCTGCCGGTGCCGCTCGAGCATCCCAGTGCCGGAGCATCTCCCGGGGAAGGGGTGCGAGAGCAGAGCCGATCCCGCGGGGGAAGGGGTACTCGGGGAGGGTGGAGGGCCGGATGCGGTCGGTACTCACATCTCCAGCCCGGGTCCCCGCTGCCGAAGAGCGTCATGGCCCCGCTCCGGCCCCGCTCCTGCCCCGCTCCGGCCCCGCTCCGGCCCCGCGCCCGACCGAACGCGCTGCCACCGGTCGCTACCACCGCCGGCCGGGGGGACCGCGGGCCGCACCACTGCCGGTACCGCGGGGACCGGGATCACCCTCCCCCGGGGATCGCCAGCCTCACCCTCATCTTCCCTGGGCTCCCTCCAGCTCCATCCTCCTGCCCCTTCCCACCGGCCGCACCCCCCTCCCTCGGGATCTCCATCCTCACCCTCATCCTCATGCTTCCAGCTTCATTCTCCCGCCCCACCTGCTGGACCTTTCTCTCGGGATCTCCATCCTCAGCCTCATCTTCCCCGGGCTCCTTCCAGCTCCATCCTCCTGCCTCACTTGCTGGATTCTGCGCTGGGGGTCTCCAGCCTCACCCTCATCCTCTCTGGGCTCCTTTCCACCTCCATCCTCCCACCACCTCCCACCTGCTGGACCTTGCCCTCCTGGCTGCCGGCTCATTTCACCCTGGGTTTGCCCAGCTTGCCCGGGGCCCCAAGCCCAGCCCAGTGATGTGGATGGTGCCTTCCCTTGGCTGAGACAGTGCACAACCAACAGGTGACAAAACACCCTGGCTGAAGACATTTCCATTCCCACACCCCACACCAGCACTGGAGTGGGCTGTTATGAAAGGAGGAGGGCAGTGGCACGTCACCTCCAGAAGCACCCACTGACACCCACCAGTGCTGGGGGCATGGGTTTGCACCCAGAACACGGGGTGCTGTGACTTGAGGCCATCCTGGGGCTAGAAGAAGCAGCTCTTGGCTAACACCATCCCTCCAAGACAACCCCATGTACTGAAGAGTTCAGCCAAGAATGGCCTTGGCTCCTGCAACCCCAGAACCCACCCAAGAGATGAAACTGGAGGTTGCACCCAGTGCAGGCAGGATGTGGGCTGTGGCTAAGGAGTCTGGTGGGCTTAGAGGAGGAAAAAGAGACAAACTACTCTTCCCAAGGGAAGAGGGTCTTTATTAATGAGCGGGCAGGTGATGAAGGACCAGGTGATGGTGAGAAACCCACCAGGCTGGGGCATTCTCACCCAGGTCAGGACGATGGCTCAGAGCCGAGCCCAGTCCTCACCCTGAGCTGTGCCAAGGTCTGCACCCCCAAAGAGCCCCCGTGGCCCCTCATCACACTGAGATTGCCATCCAGACACAGCCCAGCTGCCAATTTTGGAGGAGGATGCTTTTGTACCTGGCTGTTGCAAGGGACATCTCCTGCCCAGAGTGTTGCAGAGTGATAGTGACAGAGGAAGATGAGGGGCAGAAGAAGATGTTGTTTCAGGGATGGTCATGTACAGCACACCCCTTCTTGCCAGGTCACAGTGCCACGGGTCCCCTCAGCCCCTCATTCCCTGCACAAGTGAGCTGTGGAGAGATCCTCCTGAGCCATGGTCCGGGCTTGGCACAGCACCAGGGTTCTCCTGAGCCACAGGTTCAGCACAGCAGCCAGCACTGGCCAGTTTCCAGGGCTACCAGCTCAGGGGTCGCGCTGCCACAGGGCGATGTGTTCCTGGGCTGCAACGGCATGAGTAGAGTCAGTGCCTCCCACCCAGGAGAGACACAGAGGTCTGGGCAGGGCTGGCAACAAGGGACCAACCCAGCAGAGCTGGGGGTTGGCACCTCCAGGGCCCAGCACACCCAGAACAGGACAGGGGGGCTCCCAGCCGCTCACTCACCGAACTGGCAGATGTACCGGTTTCGGGTCTTGCAGCGCTGGTCGTTCCAGTTGAAGGCAGCTGATGCTTGCATCTCCACACAGTTCCCAAACCTGTGTCCCACCAGGATGGTGGTGAAGCCAGTCAACAGGGACACCATGCAGAGTTTGGTGTCCTCTAGATCCACTTACCCCTGGTTGTCTGGCTGCCCAAAAGCAAAGCTGGTGAACGAGGATGGCTCACCCACATCCCAGCGGAAGGAAGACTTGGATGTCTTGTAGGTGAGACCTGGGGGAGAAGGAGGAGTGTTGGCACGTCTGCCAGCACCCTGGGCACTCTGCAACCTGCCTGCTGCTGTCTCTCACCAATCCAGAAGTTTCCAGTCTCAAAATCAGTGTCTGTCACCCTGTTACCCATCTCCAAGCGGCTGAGGTAGAAAGCCAGGATGTCCTGAACCTTCTGGCTTCTTATCTGGGCCAGCATCGCTCCTTTCTCCTATGGGGAAGGGAGTGAGTCTGCCCCACCTGCATGGCCCAGCACCACTCCAGGCAGAGGAGAGATGCCCAGGGGGGCTGGGTGGCACTTTTCAGATGCACAGAGATGCTTGGAGCACCCCAGGAGTTCACCTGGCATTTAATTTTGGCTCCATAGTAGGTGTCGGCTTCAGGGGACACCATGAAGCAGTCGCTGTCTATCCGCACGTCACAGGCATGGAAGGGGAAATGTATCTTTGCTGGGGACACAGGCAGGAGCAGGTGAGTCCTTGTGGCAGCCCAGAGTCCAGAAATGGGCCCACAGAGGACCTTTTGTCCCATTTGGTGTCCCCTGCCTGTGGATCCCTGATGCCACCCCACAGCAGTGCAGGTGGGTGCAGACTCACTGCCGCACTCAGCTCCACCGTAGCCCGCGTCGCAGAGGCAGGAGCACTCCTCCTTCCTGAACCTTCCGTGGAGGCACTGCCCGCTGCACCTCACTGTGGGCACAGCACTGCATTAGCTCCAGGGGGCTGGGCAGCCCCTGCCCCTGGCTGTGCTGCCCACACTGCACCGGCTGTGCCCGTGCATGCCCTGCAGCAGCCATGCACGAGCCTCTTAGGCTGCACGGTGCCCTCTCACCTTGGCAGTACCTGCCCGTGTAGCCGGGGGGACAGGTGCACTGGCAGCTGCTCATGTCCAGGTGCCCACTGTTCCTGCAGCTCATGCGACAGGGGTTCCTGGGCACCTCTGGAAACACCAGAGGGACAGTGAGGGCATCAGGGGTGGAGACAGCAGCAGCAGGGTCATGCAGAGGCCATGGTGATAGGGGAGACTCACCGCAGAGCCCGCCGCTGTGGTCCCAGGACTTGAAGCAGCCGGAGAGGCCAGCGGTGCAGAGGGAGCACCAGGGTCCCTGCTTGTAGGGCAGGATGGGCATCCCGGCCACCTCCCAGTTGCCCCTGGCCCCACAGGCAGCTGGAGGAAGATGCCCCACCCACCCAGGAAAGCCACACCCCTTTCTGGGGCAAGCCCACACCCACATTGCAAAGCCACACCCATTTCTACATCACTGCCCTGCCTTCATTCCCCAGCTCCACCCACTTGCATCTCTGTCCACAGCACTCAGCCCCGCCCACTTCAACACACAACCCTGCCCAGAACATCCACACCCTCCCACTTCCAAAACATAGCCCAATTTGCATTTCCAAGCCCCACCCACTTCAGTGCACAGTCTCACCTGCCACCAGGACAAGCTTTCCACCCCCTCTCCTGCCACACATCCCATAGGTAAACCCATGCCCCTACCTGGACACACCTGCTTGAGACCCCACCCACATCTCCAAGCCCCACCCATTCACACCAAGCCCCACCCTCACAGCCCCACC